TAAGTATATTTTATGACAAACCTAAAAATATTATTTTACCTTTCTTATATGTACTTCAAAAATATTTTTACAGTCAAAGTTACATAAGTTTGACGATACATTCTTTGACGACATGCATTTACGAAATTTCGAACATATGCAGTAAATTTTAAGAAAACTGTTTTTGGTTTAATATTTGTTAATTGGACTTGCTTTGCATGTGCATGATTAATAAATACAAAGTTGTACTCCCTCCGTCCTACATACAATATAAGACATTTTTGCAAACTATGTACATATCATTGTGAACGAAGATACTTCTTTTACGCAGTGATCCCACTACAACCAAGGTTAAATAATTAAAAAACTGAGAGAAAGTTACAACAGTTGTTACCGTACATATTAGCACCACACAAATAGGCCCCACTGGATTTATGGATTTATTACAGGCGAGCTGTGTAGTTGTGCTTTCTATGACAGGAAGTGTCAATATGCTGCTGCTCCTAATTAACTGATTACACTCTGTTCAACCAGAACCATGCAATTCTCTGGCTCAATCTTTGTGAGGTGCTCATAGAGGTAGAGCATTGGTACGTGTGCGTTTATAGGGGTGCGTGTAAATGTGTATGTATGAGCGTCCGTGTATTTACTGTAAGAAGCACTATTCCAAGATCCACTGGCTAGTCAAAGGTGGTGTAAAGCCGTAGTACACAGTCAGACTATCCGAATCAGAGTCATTTTGTACCTGTATTGCTGGCTCACATTATGCTTTGGTGACATCACACATGACACATCTCACTCACTGTCACATCTACCTAGCTAGCAAAGCCTGGCTTTGGCCTCCATAAGCAAACAAGGGTTCGACAGAGTATCAGGTTGCGCTGCACTAGCAGGGTACTAAACTAATGCTTTCAGGGTGCACGCCCACGATTAACCGCCAGCTCTGGATTTATCTGAATGCACGATCGGGGTCGTTGCTATGCCGAAGCGACCCCCACTACCTTTCTCGCATGTATGCCCTCTCCCTCCCTCTAAAAGATCGTCGCATTTTCGATCCGCCTACGGATGCTTGATCTGTTTTGCTTTGAATGTTTTGCTGAGTATTTAAGCCACGATTAGTTAACGTCGCCATCGGTCCAACCGACTGGTGTTTCCTCACCTGGACCGGCCCGCGTGTATATATAAGGGTTTCCAAGTGCATCCTTGGCCCATCACTCGCTTCCTTCCTTCATCATAGGATAAGACAAATATCTCAGGGATTGATAGCAATCGAGTGGCAGGCTCGCGGCTTAATTTGTCAAGTAAGGTTTTCTGTTCGTTCATGGCTTCTTCGAGGGTGGCCGTGCTGTTGTTCTTGGTTTGCACTCTCGGTGTCGCTAGGAAGATGGAAGCGGCAAGGATGATGCACAAAGGTGAGGTTGTGCTGGGTAATGGAGGAGGCGGTGGCGGTGGCGGTAATGCGCTGCAGCACGGGCTCGTCGACGGCCACCGGCCAAGGCATGTTGCGTCGTTCACGACGGGGGACGACGTCGTCGAGGCGCCGTCGAGCCAGGCCGCTGGCGGAGACGGCGCGAAGAGGGAGGTGCCAGGCGGGCCTGACCCGATACACCACCATGGCAGCGTGCCGCCAACTTCGGTCGCTCCATAGAGGCATGCAGTCAGAGAGACTCTGCGTGAGGGAGAGATGGTCAATGAATGATGACGTCACGTCTTCGTGCATGCATGTTATCCGGCGAAAGTGTACGTACGTGCCCGCGTACGTACGTCCAGTTGATCGCAACGCCACTAGTAGTACGTCCGAGTAAATTTGTTGTAGTAAAATGCATGCATGGTTATTACGTTAATTTGAATTTGTGTGTGGAGCGGACGTGGCCGTCTGCAGGTGTGCTGTCATCGGTGTGATGACAACCACAAGTTAGTTGGGTTGAGATTTTACATATGATGAAGTATTTAAATCCCATGATATTTTGTACTCTCCAAGTATTTAATTTCCAGCGATACATACCGTGGCTGCAAGGGATGCGTGGCTAACAATAAAAAAAAGGACCGTCTATACATCAGGTAACTAAAAAAACCATCAAACAATTTTCTAGGCCGTTGGATCACCGTCCAACGACCACTATCCTCCCACACATGTCCATCTTCAAGGTTTCAACCACTCTCATCTTCTTCCTCCCGAAAACCCTCGGCCTACCCCGTTCCATCCACCTGTTACACGTCGCATGGCTGGCAGCTGGCAGGCACTGCCACACGCTGCCTCGTCGCCTCGCCCTCCCCTCAACCTCAACCTCCTTCACTGTCATTGTTTGCCATCGCTGCGACCATCCCTCCAAGCGACCCGCACCCGTCAACCTGCTTCCTCGCATCTTCCTGGGACGCGCATCATCATTTCCATCTTGGATTAGGTCTTGGCTTGTCCTCGAGCAAAGCAAAAATTCAGCGACGCTCGGAAAAAATAAATTCAGGCAAACAGGCATACAATGATTAGCAAGCGCGAAGAAACTAGCAGGCACAAAAGACTTTCATGAAAGATCGACTCACTCTTTTTTTTTTTACAGTATGCTCGTTTTGTTTAAGTGACCGGTATATCCGGTTTGTACGTACATACGTGTTTGGGTGATAATGGCACGTCATTGCGTCCATGCATGCACGATGCCTGTCGCCAAACAGATAAAGGGGCGGTAAGGTCACTGACCGAGTGCACTCTCAATAAACTAGTTGGAAATTTTGCTTTTGGGTATGTTCTCAAAAAGAAGTTGACATGCACATGCCTGTCTTGGACAGACTAAAATGAAAAAACAAAAACAAGAACCAGCAAAGGTTTGGGGGAGCTCCTATTGGATGCACTCGCGTCAAACGATAGTTGTGTCGCACAGGGCGTGCCCAACTGGGCCACCATCACTCCGGGCGTACTGTACTGATTCGACCGGTACAGCAACGACTCGGACAGTACTATAGCGACTCAACATGTCCTGTAGCTTCATGACTTAAAAAACACACTTTTTAAATAAAAACTATGATTATTTATAAAATTTTCAACCTTTTAGATAAAAATAAGGGCATTTGTGAAAAATAAGAACATTTCTTAAGAACAAAAACATTATTAAAGATTTAATATTTTTGGAAACTATGAACAAGTTTTTAAATATTTATTGGAGAAGGCACACTTTTTTTATTTTGAGGATTTTACGAACTTCCGATCAAGTTTCCAAATTTTGAAACATTTTGTTGAGATTTGCTGATAATTCCAAAATAAATGATGAGCATTTGTAAAAGCTTATAAATTTTTTTTGAAATTCCTTAAAAAATAAAATTATGGAAAGAAGAAAAGAAATACATGAAAAAACAAAAAAATATACAATATAATTCTAGAAGGTTTCTGAAACCTAGTATACAAGATAATTATACAAGAACCTACCAAAAGGCTCCTAACACCGAAATCATGTTGAGTACGTATGCTGGCAAAAAACTGTAGGGCCATCTGAGGGCTAGCTTTTGCTTCATCTTTGTGAAACGCCGGAATTTGCCGTTCAAAGCTTAAAAAAAGTATCTTCGAAAAGAAATATTCATATTTCCTTGAAGAGATGTTCATGTTTAAAAAATAAACATTCAGCTCTACCAAAAAACATTGTGAATAAGGTTCATGTGTTTTCTGAATATTCTTTTATTCTGAATCTTCGGGTATTGTACAGAAGAAAGTCAGATTCTAAAAATATGTTCATGTTTCTCAAAATTATATTCATGTAATTTGTAGAATTAAATATTCATCAATGGCAATGAAATAATAAGGACAAAAGAAATTCTAAATAAACATTAAACACAAAAAATAAACAGAGAAAATAGAAACGGAAAAGAATCAAAAAACAAATAGGAGAAAGTAAATAAACAAAAACGAGAAACGAAAATAAAGGAAGATAAAAAAACTAAAAACCGTCTTCCTAGGTTGCGGCCCATGTTCGAGCGCGTGTAGGCCAACCGAATCCAATTTTGCCGTTTACCTACTACCTGGGCGCTCCTGTGTCTCACATATAGCGAGATATAGGGAACCCTCGCGTGAAGGCGAGTGCCAGGTCGGCCTAGGCGCACAGGAGGCCACAACCTCGTTTTATTCTCTTTTTTTCATGCTTTTTAGTTTCATGTTATGCTTTCTTTTACTTTAGAAAAAAAACACTCTACATAAAGAATTTAAAAATGTTAGACAAGCATTTGACAAATATCAAAAAACATTGTACACAAAAATTACAATGTTTATGAAAAATTTGATCATGTAATTTAAAAAATGCAAATGAAGCATTTGAAAAGCTGTTGAAAATTATTTGAAAAATGTTGATCAACCATTTAAAAAATGTTAAATGTGTATAGGAAAAAGGGTTGACCATTTATTTAAAAATGTTAATCTTGTATTAAAAAAAGTAGGTCACGCATTTGAAAAAAGGTTTAAGACAATTAGAAAAAATATTGCCCATATCCTAAGAAAATGTCAATCTTGTATTTCAAAGATGTTAACCAAGCATTTTGAAAATATTCAAAATCTGCATAGAGAAAATGTGGAATATGTATAAAAAATGTTAAAATTTTATTTGAAAACGTTAAATGTATGTTAGACAAATTTATTGAATATATAGCAAGAAAGTACAATGCCCATCGAAAAAAGTAGACATAAAAAATATAGGATTTCAAAAATGTTAATAATGTATTTCAAAATTGTAAACCGGTATATAATTTTTTCCTGATGTATACGAAAAACGTTGAATGTGTATTAAAAACCGAGAAAAACTAGAAAAAGAAAAGGAAACAAAGAAACAAGAGAAGCCAAAGAAAACAAAGAAAGATATAAAATACTAAAGAAAAGAAACAAAGGAAAACAATGAAAACATAAAAATAAAAATAAAGCCGAAGATAACAAATGCAAATGAATGAAAAATAGGGAAACGACGAAAAACGAAGAATACTGATGAAAACCAAGATAGAAACAAAGAAACCCAAAGAAATAATGAAGAAACTAAGAAAGGCAAGAAAATCAATGAAAACCAGGAAAGAAACAAAAAAAGGAAGTGAACAGAAAAAACCAGTTGAAATCGATAAACAAACGAAGAAAATCAGTGAAAACAAAGAAAATATGAGAAGACTGGAAAAGAAACAAATAAAACTTAAGAAAACATAGAAACAAAACAAAAAGAAAAAAAAAAGTGAACGAAACCAGCGATGCGAGCGAGCAAACTAACAATACTAGCGGTCTGGGAAAAGCTTCATACAAGGACAGCCTATATCTCGCTTACATATCTTACTATAAGCGAGATATAACTTCCGTGCTACTAGCCCCTTGTGTCGAGACCAAATGAAATGTTAGTTGCCTAAATTGACTAGCCCAACTATGCATCGTTGTATCAATCTCTTTGGAAAAAAAATGTTGATCACTCTTATTTATCACGTGGACTGCGGGATGGCGAGCAAACGCGCCATCCCTATGTGGCACTATAGTGCTACATATAGTGTTATTCATACATGGGACTCATCTCCCTAGTGCAAGTCAGTAGTGATGAGCATGCCCATCTAAAGTGGTCGCAGCTTGCATTTACATACGCTCCCACCAACCGCTTTTCGGAAGCTTTTGTTCGGTTTTTTCTTAGGTTTTATTAATTTTATGTTCAATTTTTTCCTTTTTATTTTTTCTTTTTCTTTTCTAGGATATTTTGGTTAACGTGTTTTTCAAATGTGTGAACTTTTACAAGTACATGATTTTTTAGTTTGTGAACTTTTAAATATTTTAATATTTTTCCAAATTTATGAACCTTTTCAAAATCCACAAAACATTTTAAAAACTTATGATGTTTTCCAAATTTATGATTCTTTATAATTCATGGCTATTTTCAAACTAATGATTTTTTTTAAAATTTTGTGATCCTTCTTCAAATTCCAAAAGTTTTTTCTAAATCCGTGAACATTTTTTAAATGCGTGAACTTTTCTCAAATTCATGAATACTCCCTCCGTCCGAAAACGTTTGTCCCTCAATGGTTAGTGCTAGATACATCCACTTCAGAGACAAGATTTTCCAAACGGAGAGAGTATTTTGTAAACTTGTAATTCTGATTATTTTTTAATATTTTCTAAGCTTTTTAAGTCAATAGAAAACGGCCCACCGAAGGGTCAATTATCGAAGTCAATAGTCATGGTCAACCAACATCGTTTCCCCGCTTAGAAAAAAAGCATGAACTTTAATAAAAGAAACAGAACTAGGAAACAGGGGGAACGAGCGACCCGACCGACCAGCAGACCGAGCGCGACCAACAAGGGAACCGTTATTTTGCCACAGCACATTTGACGCTGCACGAGCGCTAGTTGACAAAGAAGCGCTCTAAGCGCCGTATTGGAGCTCCAAGCAAACATATACCCCCAACAAATCAGTAAGCGACGGACATTTTGTAAATAATAGTAAAAATTGAATTAAAGAAATTTTTGGAAATCATGAATTTTTTTTAATTTGTTAACAGTTTTTTAATACACTAACATTTTTTTAATTCGTGAATATTTTTTAAATGACGAACATTTTTTGAATTCCAGAACCATTTTTTTTAATTCACAAACATTTATTGAAATCATGAACATTATTCACTTTGTAAGACATTTTTTGTATTCCCACATATTAT